TCCATTTCATGCAGGAAAAAGGTCCCTACACCATTTTTGAACCGCAGCGGCTGGGAAATCGCATAGTGCTTTTCCACCATACAATTTCTTGTTGGTTCCCACACATGAAAACACGCTGCATTTTTAGATGCATAGGGGTACCATTAGAATGACTGGCAGCCCTACGTGTTTGTAAAAGCGTGTTTTGGCTGCGGGTGCAGGATTCCGCATACCTACAACCACCCGCAGTAGTGTGAATCTAGACTAAATTCACTGACAGTTTGTAAAACCCATGATTTTTACATCTGTCTGAATATCCAGTATGAACATGCAGAATTGCATGTCCATAACAGACATTCATGAACAGATAAAAATGGATTTTACAAACTCTCCTTGAATTTAATGGCAGTTGGCAACTGTGTGGGGAGGTAGCGGGGATATTGTGGGTGGGGGGCTTTGGGGGAGGCGTAGCCCACCTAAAACCCTTCCCCCATACCAAGTGGCATTTACATGCCTGGCACTATGTGAAATCCCTACTTTAGCTGTTGCAAGTGCTTTTACAAAGACAGCACCCATGGCACCCCTTTAGCTGTGCTCAATCCTGCATTCTCTGTGGCAAAGAGGCTTCTATGCAAATAGGTATACACGGCATCTCTTGCAACCCTCCATACATGCTAGCCTCTGTGGCTTTTTTGCACAGGCTTCTTCCAGACATGCCCCAGGCCACAGGTTGGACATCCATGTACTAGTAGATTTAAATACATTAACAGCTCATACTTCATAATCAGTTACAGCAAACTGATTCATTCATACACATACTAGGGCAAATTTAGAAAGGATCCACTTAACCTACCAGCATGTCTTTGGAGTGGAGTACCCGGAGGAAACCCACGTAGGCACACGGAGAACATGTAAACTCCAGGCAGGTGGTGCCGTGGTTGGGATTTGAACTGATGACCCTAGTACTGCCAGGCGGAAGTGCTAACCATTTAGCCACTGTACTGCCCATTATTGCATGGATAGGTTAGTGGAAAAGCCTTTTTCTTAAAAGACTTTTGATAGAAAACACTTGATTAGCAACTCAACTCCTTGGATGCTTACATCAAGGAGGTCACGGGGGGTAAGAGTGCATTCTTACCCCAGAAGAAGAGGGTTAAAGCCCCTGCAGGTAAACTGGCTCCTGAGGCAAAGAAAAGCTTCTTTCATTTCTCTTTGGCATCTGGGTTCTAGCCCAGCTCAAACTTTTGGATGGCTAAGCCAACTAGGTTTTCCCCATAATGAGAGGGTGCTTCTTGCTAGAGTGGGGGGTCACTTGTTAGCCATCTCAGTTCAAGTTATTTTGGGCACCTAAGTCAAGAATGTTGTCTATTGGGTCTTCATGATAGAGTCCTGGTCCTTACCTCCACCAAACTTCATGCTGTCAATCTTGCCATCCACCCCATGTTGCCATTTCTGGAGACAGGGAGATTCTTCACCAGTCTGTTCACTGTCTCCAAAGTCCAGAAGACCTTCTGACTTCTGTGACCATTGAGGATGCCTATTTACACATTTTCATTTTTTTATCTATGCCCTCTAAGCTGTCCCCAGTGTAGCTCTGCCACCTCACTCCCAATGAAGGAACAGGGTCTCGCAGTGCACATAGCACAGACATCATGTGTGCACTTGATTAACACTTGCTGCTCTCTTATACCATGCGTCCATGCTGTAGGTCTCTGTAACACAGGTTAAGTCCCAGTACTGTCAGGGAACCGACCACTGGGGAAAAATCTGGATCACCATCCCCCTTGTTACTGGATGAACTTCCGCCATGCCAGGTACCACGTTTTATGACAGGCTGCTGTACATTTTCCACCAGTCTCTGGTTACACGTAGCAACTGGTTTCTTCCTCCACACCATCTGCCGAGTTAACCCTTTGTAGTGGCCTTGCTTCATGCCCCATATGTGCTATACTGATATTGGCCCTGTTAGAAAAAACAAACAAAAAGTGAACGAATGAATGAACAAAAATGATGAATGTATGGGCTGCCTTACTGTTAAGTATGTCCAGGCCTATGTCAGAGAGATGAACACCATCATTCCTGGATAGATCAGGCACACCACCTTCCAAATCAAAATGCCAAAAAGTAAAGCTACCAAATAAAGGCATACATTTTTCTAAGGTTCTATTCAACCTTTTTTTAATTTTCTCAAAAGGCCTTAAGGGAGGGGATTCAAACCAACGACATCCCAGTGGCTGGAGCCCATCCACCAATCACCGGAGGCCTTGAAGAACCTCTTCTTGAAGATCAGCCCCTTGTGCCACTCCCACTAATCACCAGCTGGGGGATTCAGTTATGGTGCTTCTGGGGGAAGATGTAGAGAAGAGGTGGCGTTGCCTTCTCCTCTTCTTCAATGGACGAATGCCCACCTTTCCAACCTGCACCAGAAGTTCTGCCAGTGCTTCTTCTATCTGTTGCTGGGCTTCCACAAGGAGGGTGCCTCTATCTTCTTGCCAGAAAAGTTTCACATCATGATACAGGAAGCTTGGATCTTTGATTACTGAACTGACAGTAGTCTTCTTTGACATTGGCATCCTTTTGGTTCATCGACCGAGGTAAGGAGAGGCACTTCCTAAGCCATTCTTCACCATCCTGTTCTCCCACCCACTTGATTAGCTGCCGTATCAGAGTCTTCATGTCCCCCAAACACTCTATCATAGGTTCTAGTATTATAGTTCCCTGAACTCATGGATGGAGGTCTTGATTACTGGTGCTCTAAGCCAAAGACCTGGGCTTTACAGTGCCTTGAAAAAGTATTCATGCCCCTTGAAATTTTCCCACATTTTGTCATGTTACAACTAAAAACGTGAATGAATTTTGTTGGGATTTTATGTGATAGACCAACACAAAGTGGTACATAATTCTGAAGTGGAAGGAAAATGAGAAATGGTTTACAAACTTTTTTACAAATAAATCTGTGAAAAATGTGGCGTGCATTTGTATTCAGCCCCCCGGAGTCAATACTTTGTAGAACCCCCTTTTGCTGCAATTACAGCTGCAAGTATTTTTGGGGATGTCTCTACCAGCTTTGCACATCTAGAGAGTGACATTTCTGCCCATTCTTCTTTGCAAAATAGCTCAAGCTCTGCCAGATTGGATGGAGAGCGTCTGTGAACAGCAATTTTCAAGTCTTGCCACAGATTCTCAATTGCATTTAGGTCTGTACTTTGACTGGGCCATTCTAACACATGGCACAGTGGGGTGCTGTACTGAGGCCCCCATATCAGATACTCTGTTCTCAGTGCATATTCAGCCCCAAGGCTGTTGTTATGGTGCAGGAGTCAGCTTGCACTGAAACAACCATTGATTCTGTACAGCCTGGCCACCTGCTTCCTAGCAACCAATAACATTGTGTGACCCAACTACCAGCAACCTATGACGCTGTGTGGTCCTTTTCATCTGAATTCTAGCAACCTATGATGCAGTGTGGCCCTATCATCAGCATTCTAGCAACCTATGATGCAGTGTGGCCCTGTTATCAGCATTCTAGCAACCTATGATGCAGTGTGGCCCTGTTATCAGCATTCTAGCAACCTATGATGCTGTGCTGCCCTTTCATCAGAATTTTAGCAACTGATAATGCTATCCTGCCCTGTCACCAGTGTCCTAGTAACCGATGATGCTCTGCTGCCCTGTCCTAAGCGTCCTAGCAACCAATGATGCTTTGCACCCCTGCCATCAGTGTCTTAGCAACTTATGATGCTGTGCAGCCCTGTCATCAACATTCTAGCAAACTATGACGCTGTGCAGTCCTGTCATTACAATTTTAGCAACTGATAATGCTGTGCTGCCCTGCCGCCAGTGTCCTAGTGACCGATGATGCTATCCTTCCCTGTCCTAAGTGTCCTAGCAACCAATGATGCTTTGGACCCCTGCCATCAGTGTCCTAGCAAGTGACGTTGCTGTGCAGCTGGCTACTAGCATCTTAGCAACATATGACGCTGTGCGGTCCCCTTTCGTTAGCATTGTAGCAACTTATGATACTGTGTTGCCCTGCCGCCAGTGTCCTGACGCTGTGCAACCAATTGCACCCCTGCCATCAGAGTCCTAGCAACCAATGACGCTGTGCAGCCCTGTCATCAGACTCCTAGAAACCTATAACGCTGTGCAGCCCTGTCATCAGAGTCCTAGCAACCAATGATACTGTCCAGCCTTGTCATCATAGTCCTAGCAACCAATGACGCTGTGCAGCCCAGCTACCAGCATCCTAGCAACTGATGGTGGGGAGTGGGTGTCAGAAATGTCTGCCCCGGGACAACTTTTTTTTTTTTGTACATGCTAAAAGCCCATTATAAGAGAAAGGTCTTGCTTATCACAACTGAATGAATGGAAATGTCATGATATCACAAGATAGTTAGGATCCAGGTTCACACTGGTGACTACATTGTTCTTAACATGCAGCAAGTGTGTGCGCCATTTATGAAGGAGGAATAATTGTGGAGCACCATATATACATAGGCCTGTGTGGACTAGAGCTGGAATAGCATCTGTGTTGCCTGCAGCAACCACGTACAGCCCTTTGTCTCACAGTCTAACATTCCCGCCATCTTTTATTAAGCTCCCACTTCACTGAGGAGAATTCTGCAGCTACATCTTCTTTACAGTGCCGCCAATTTATTAATATCGGCCTTGCCCTGTTACGTACTGAACTACACATCTAATGAATGAGGCGCCATTACACGCTGACAACGAACAAGATGGCGGCTCGTCACCTCCTCACGCCTTCTGGCTGTAGCGGAAGGCAGCCAATCCCAGAGCAGGTGTGTTTGTTATTGGCGGCCGCTCCCCCCCCAATAAACTGGCGAGCCCGCCTTTTCTCGTTTTCCTTTATATGATTTGCTTGGAAATCAGAACCGTCTGCCATAGTAAGCCAATAGGAATAAGTCTTTAGGGGTCGTTGCTCCCGCAGACCTATCGGGATTGAGTGAGTAGGCGGGGCATGGTGAGTTTTGCCCAGGCGCCATGTTACAGGATTCTCAGTCCCGGCGGAGCTCTGAAGATGGCGGCAGCTGCAGCGGTGGGAGGAAGGTCAGCTTACTACGGGACGGAGGGCGGCCGAGCCCCGAAGAGGCAGAAGACTGACGGGACAGACGACAACGTGGCGGCCAGTGCGGTAAGCGAGGGAGCCGCGCGGAGAGGGAGCGCTTGGCGGCCTCTATTGTGCGATGTATGGAGGACTCATTCATGGACCCGCTGTGGGGGGGGGGGGGGGGGCGGGGAGCACTACGACTCCCAGCATACATTGCGCGCCTTTTGTCCGGCAGGGAATTGTGGGGGTTGTAGTTCTCTGCTCATGGGAAGGCCTTGCAGGGAATTTCTGTAATATTATACACATCATCGGACGGATCTGAGGAGCGCACATGCCGGCTCCATGCAATAACCAGGCCTGGGAACAATGGCTGGACAGGAACAGCCTCTGCTATTGTTCTTCACAACAGCAGGGGGAGCTACTAGACAGGGCTGATATTGAGCCCCCCACTTCTCAGAGGTCGCAGGAGTGGACATCAGCCCTGCCCCCCCAAGTGGCATTGGAGGGTGGTCAGGGCTAATTGAATTGCTCCAGCCCCCCCAGTCTTCAGAGGGCATGGGGGGGGGGGGGGGGTCAGGGCTGATGGAAGTGACCATTTCTCTCTCTGAGGCCATTGGATGGTGTTCAGTGGAGACCACCCCCTGATCAGTCCTGCAGTTGGGTTGGTGTAGCTCTGCCACCGCATTGCCCACCCAGTCCTGTGGTTGGGTTGGCAAGGATTGTCACCCATCCCACCCCCATCTTCCCAGGCCTGCGTTTGGGTTGGTGTGGCATGGACAACATCCCCCCCAGTCTTCAGTAGGCATATGGGGGTGGTCAGGATTGATGGAAATTTATTTCAGGTACTTATATAGCTCCGTCAATTTACGCAGCGCTTTACACATACATATTGTACATTCACATCAGTCCCTAACCCTCAAGGGGCGTACAATCTAAGGTCCCTAACTCACATTCATACATACACATTAGGGCCAATTTAGACAGCATCCAATTAACCTACCAGCATGTCTTTGGAGTGTGGGAGGAAACCGGAGTACCCGGGGGAAACCCACGCAGGCACAGGGAGAACATGCAAACTCCAGGCAGGTGGTGCCATGTTTGGGATTCTAACCAATGATCCTAGTACTGCCAGGCAGAAATGCTAACCATTTAGCCACTGTGCTGCCCTCCCTTTCCCTCTAGTTCTCAGAGGGCATTGGATGGTGATAAGGGGTGATGTGCCCCCCTTCTCTCGGTCCTGTGGTTGGGGTTAGTGTGGCTCATCATCCCACCCCATCATCCTAGTCCTGCGTTTGGGTCGGTGCAGCTGCCATCCTGTTCCATCTCTTTCAACGTCCCCCAACCTGGTCTTTAAGGGAGTAGGTGGGTGGTTTGGGCTGATGGAAATGACCCTTTCCCTCTAGTCTTAAGAGGGCTTTGGATGGGGAGGGCAGCAGTACTGTGTTGGCACAACATGGTGGATGGACCCCCAGTCTTGGCCTCATACCTGCACATTGCAATGCTTGTTTTTTGGTAAAGCTTTTTTTTTTTTTTTTTTTTTTTTTTTTTTTTTTTGCATGGAGTGGCATGTTTTTGGTCCCAGAAACTTCCATCAGATTGCCAGATAGAAAAGCGTGATTGGTCACTCCAGAGAACACATCTCCACTGCTCTAGAGTCCAGTGGTGGCGTGCTTTACACCACTGCATCTGACACTTTGCATTGCACTTGGTGATGTAAGACTTGGATGCGGCTGCTCGGCCATGGAAACCCATTCCATGAAGCTCTCTATGCACTGTTGTGCTAATCTGAAGGCCACATGAAGTTTGGAGATCTTTAGCTATTGACTCTGCAGACAGTTGGCGACTTCTACACACTGTGTGCTTCAGCATACGCTGATCCCCACTCTGTCATTTTACGTGGCCTACCACTTGGTGGCTGAGTTGTTGTTCCCAGTTGCTTCCACTTTGTTATAATCCCACTAACAGTTGGCCGTGGAATATTTAATAGCAAGGAAATGTCACGGATGGACTTACTGCACAGGTGCCAACCTATCACGGGACCACACTTGGAGTCACTGAGCTCCTGAGAGCGACCCATTCTTTCACAAATGTTTGTAGAAGCAGTCTGCATGCCTAGGGGCTTGATTTTATACACCTGTGGCCATGGAGGTGATTGGAACACCTGAATCCAATGATATTGAGGGCTGGCACAATACTTCCGGCGATAGTGTCTCTGTTCCAGTTGCCTGGGTTTGTGACGTGTTTTACTGTGAGTCACATGTGGGACCACGGCTAGTTGAGTTCTGCAAAGAAACTCTCTAAACTGCAAATAGACAGATGGATTGAGGTTTGTGCAAGTACCATCTGGCTATTGAAGGATCAGTGTGCAGGTCTTGTGGACAGTTTTTTTTTTTTTTTTTTTTTATTACATAGCTGTGTTATTGGCCAGTGGAGGCTGTCAATGTACCTGAATGTAGGCCTCCTACCAACCCAATCATCTGTGTTCAGGGTGGAGAACTGCAGTATCCCCCCTGTGCAATTATATGCTGGGTTTCATCAATTACTACATACATTGTTGGTATTGTGCAATCCTTTTCTGCAATTGTGGTCTAAGCCAGGGATCGACATCCAAGGTTGCCCTGGCGACTAGAAATTGCATCCTGGCACTTGAGCTTTTTACACTCGGGATATCCAGATCTGAGAGCGCAGATAGTTTTAATTTTTTTCTTTTTCCTACATTTCGCCCTGCTGTGAGCTAGTAGCAGAGCTCACTGGTCAGGTGGAAGCATTTGGGTGGCTCTGCTCCCACCCAACTGCCTCCACACATGCGTGTAACGTGGCCCTCCACCCACCCAGTTTACCTGACACATGTTCACTGTCCTTCCCATCCTGTTCCTAACGCAGGAGCAATGTGTATGTCAGTTCTGGGTCCCTGTTGATGGGAAAGAATGTAATGCAGTGTGATTTGCATTATGTTCAGCTGAGCCCAGACGAAACATGAAGGGTCTTTTTAACCACTTGCCCTCCAAAGGATTTACCCCCTCCCCTCCTGACCATGCCATTTTTTGCATTACAGCGCTATTACTTTGACAATTGCATGGTCATGTAACACTGCACCCAAATTAAATTTACAGTTATTTTTCCCCCGTGAATTGAGCTTTCTTTAGGTGGGATTTGATCACCTGTATGGTTTTTATTTTTTACGCTTTAAAAGACCAACAACTTTTAGGAAAAAAACAATATTTTTGACTTTTTGCTATTAAACCTGTCTAGTAAAAAAAAAAAAAAAAATTCAAACATCAAAATTCTTCAAAAGTTAAGGCCAAAATGTATTCTGCAACATGTCTTTACTAAAAAAAAAAAAAAAAAAAATCTCAGTACATGTAAATTAATTGGTTTACGTGAAAGTTATAGCGTTTACAAGCAGATAGAGAGATATATATATATATATATATATATATATATATATATATATATTATACACACACACACACACACACACACACACTGGGGTTTTTAAAATGTATTTTTCCTAATGATGGCAGCGATCAGTGACTTCCAGCAGGACTGTGGCAGACATTTTGGAAGCTGAATTGGTGTCATACATCCCCAGTGACCAATGCAGTGATCAGTGCTTATATATAAAAAAAAAAAGCTCTAACACTCTACTAATTGCACTGGGCAGGAAAGGGTTAACATGAGGGGTGGTTGAAGGGTTAACTGTGTGCAGGGAGTGTTTTTACTATGTGTGGTGTATGTATGCTTCACTGTAAGCACACTGCTCTGGATGGCTGCTATGCAGAGTCATACAAAGCAGTGTGCAGGAGCTGACGGGGGAGAGAATTGTATTGTTTACATACAGACCTCTCACTCTGTCGGTATTGGTGAGTGCTGGCAAGTAATTGCTGGCCGGGAGCCGGTGATTGACCGCCAAGGCGCGCGTGCCCCACCCTACCCAGAACTGCAAAATCGCATGTGTATATATTCGTGATTTTGCACACCTGTGCCTCCCTGTAGCAGTATTTCTGCCATAAGGCGGACAGCAAGCAGTTAAAAAGAACCTATGATCACTTAGCGGATTTGGTCCCTCGTGATGGGGGTCTGAAAACAGTCTGACACGAAAACCATGCATTGGTTCACCAAAAAGGCATATGTACTCAAACACTCGCCCCATATACACCACAGCACTTGGGTCTGAACAGTCCCTATAGAAAAGAATGTCAATCATCTTTATGCACATTTTAATGTGTATTGAATCAGCACCATGTGAACGGGGGGGGGGCCGGGCCCCAAAGATATCCATTTCTCTGCCCCGGTCCTCTCTGAAGGCTCACATGGGCTTTCTGTACACTGTAACATGCGGACCGTGTCTTGTTAATGCATGAATAGACTACGAGAAGCTCATACACTGTCTTTTTTGTTTGTTGTGTTGGCTTTGTGGGTACGCTGGGATTTCACAAAAGATCTCATTGTGTGGAATTGGTTGAGATTTTTTTCTCTCTGCACTAATCGGTTTTGATAGAGGCCAGGGTTTGCTGGCTGCTGAAGTCCGTGTTAAAGGGAAAGCTGGGTAAGCTGCTACAAATACATATTTGTTCATTAACAGTTGTACCTGCCTAAGGAATTATTCTGTTGAGTTGCGGTCCCCAACCTTCCTGGGACCAGGGACTGGCCTTGCAGAAGACAAAACCCTCCACGGACTAGGCCGGGAAGAGGGGTTGTTTGCTGGGGGATTGTGAAAGGGGGTGTGCAGCCTGTCACCTGAGGTCAGCAGTGTACAGGGCTCCCCAATGCCCTGACAATCCTGTCCCCAGCCTGGCTGTTGTCCTTTTCTCCTTCTTTCCCCCTTTGTTGGCTGACTGGCATAACTGCAGAAAGGGAGGGGAACGGGCGCCCCTCTGGTGGTGGGAGGGAGGTAGTGCAGGTTGTGCTCACCTGCTGCCCAGCCCCTCAACAGGTCACATATGGGCACTAATCTGTGGCTGGGGGCTGCTGTAGGACTTCTTATAGTTTGCACACCTCTACCACATTGCAGAGGTAGGCAGGTGCCTGTTTTTCTGGTTCAGCAATGCATCTTCTCCACCTTCAGGAGTAGGATGCTATGTGCAGCAAAAAAGAAAACATATCCTAGGGGTGTATTTAGTGTATTTCTTAATGACAAAAACAATTTAGCTTTTGCTACAGTATTTTCTGCTGCCTTTTCCTGTTTGGATCTCACACTTTGCCTCTTTTTTTTTTCAGGAAGGCTACGAGGACCCTCACAAGACGCCGGCTTCCCCGGTGGTCCACGTGAGGGGACTTGTCGATGGTGTGGTGGAAGCTGATCTTGCAGAGGCACTTCAGGAATTTGGAACTATAAGGTATGGGCTGTGAAATGGATGATTGCATTATCTGTCACTATTTCTGCAGGCTGAAGGTGGACTTTAACGCAAGCTGTTTCTATATGTAAACTCTCCTAAAAATGAAGCAAAATATTGTGCATACATATAAAAAAAAAACACAAATCTCTTCCCAAACCCCCTCCCCCATATAAAAGAATCGCATATCATCTGTTCTCAGCTGTATAAGGAGTTAGTGGAGGAGAAACTGCAGGACACTGGTTCTCCCAGTGAATGGCTGCACTGGGTGGTGTTTCAGTGTAAGTATTATCATCGGAGTAGTACAGGCTGAGTTCCAGCACAGAAAACTGGCCACGCTGTGTTCTCATGCCTAGTGTGGTCAGTGTTTAATAGGAAAGCACAGGAACACAGGGGATTTCGCACAAAGAAAGCAATATAGAGAGAAAAGGCTACTTTTTAATACAAGTACATGGTACATCAGGCACATTTCAGGAGTACTAAAGGTTGGGATTACATATTCTTGTATGTGTGATAAACCACAGCATGTATAAAAATGTTATCCCGTCTAATTTCACAAGTATAGTCCTAAGATAAAGTAAGAGTGACCTTGAATCATCCCCTGAAATGGTCTCTATGCTTCTTATGGGGTGCTGTCCATTAGAGCCCTTAGCTTTTGCAAATAACTAATATTGTCACCCACTGTGTAGGGCCTCAGCCTAGGAGCCGCATACCGATTATGGAGTATTGGTGCAGACTGTGTTCAGCTTGGTCAGTAAAGTGACCCTAAAGTGAGAATGTGACCAAATCTATGATTATGTGAGATAATATTTCTCTGATATGATTTGGTAAATGAAGAGTTCTTACCCAGAAGTGAAAGGTTTAACACAACAACCAAAATTTATTGGTGAATAGGATGGAGGTCTAAACTAACACAATGTATCTAGTTACATAAAAGAAACTGTATGAAGAGAGCTCGGACGTATTACAAAATACAGTGAGACAGAAAAGACATAAGACAAACATTTACATACAAGTGCAAGGGATATATTCCATAATTACCATGGAACTGGACGTAAAAGTTCCCTTCCTTCTGGTGTTCCAAAGAGAACCTCTCTTCCATTAATTTCCATAGAGTATCTCTGGTTGGTTGGCCAGTCTATTCCCTTTCTTAATTGGCTAACTTCAAATCCCCTGTATTTCGCATACACCATCCCCCTTTAAGGCAAATCTTGGCACACCCTTTATGGAATTTAACCACTTCAGGTCTGGACACTTTTACCCCCTTCATGACCAGGGCAATTTCCAGGTTTCAGCGCTATCACACTTTGAATGACAATTGCGTGGTCATGCAACACTGTACCCATATTAATTTTTTTAGCATTTTTTTGAGACCGATAAAGCTTTATTTTGGCGGTATTTATACACCACTGGGATTTTTAATTTTTTTTTTGCTATATAAATGAAAGTTCACAAATCTTGAAGAAAATAAAATTTTGCAAATATTTAATCATAAATCTAGGCCAAAATTTATTCCGGTTTATCTTAGTAAAAAAAACCAAATTTGTTTAACATTTTTAAACTTTTTATTTTTTTGTACATACTGTCACCCTAGCAGTGTCATTATGGTGACACTGTACTACCTGTGGGGGGTGATGAAGGTGGTGGTGTTTTTTTTTTTTTTTTTTTTTTTTTTTTTTTTTTTTTTTTTTTTAAACACTGATTGCTTTTATACCCATAAAGGCTGTAAAAGCAATCATTTCTCCTTCTCTTTGGCTCCATTCTTGCAGCCATTGAGAACTACTGTGTGAGCTGTGATTGGTCACAGCTTCACATGGTACAAGGCTGTTGTGAATAGCCTCGTACCATGTGATCTCTGTGATCATTCACAGATTTCACACGTAGTAAGCAATGATGTGAGAAGTGACATCTTGCTTGCTATGTGTGATCACTGCTTGACCATCAGTGATCACATGATCGGGACCTCACACAGAGGTCCCGTACGACGATCGGTGTTCCACTGTGTCCAGAGGACACAGTAGCACCGGATCGCGGTGCTGCCAGGGAGAGCGCGCACAAGCAGGGGGCGGGGAGGGGCCGTTTTATAAACGGCCACCCGGCCTTGCACTGCCACTGTCTGGCCGTTTATATACATGGGCTGGACGGGAGGTGGTTAAACAAGCCAATTCTTGCTGGGAAACTTAAGTATTCATGAACAGCTGGCCACCTTCATTGCATATCTAAACTAGAAAAGGTACAATTTCTGGGGAAATTGTGTGAAGTGTTCTTCCCTCCACCAGTAGTCTACAACTGCAGTGGGCGGAGTAACTGGGTGGAGTGGCTTGTCACTCTGCTGCCTGCTCACACACCTGGGTTCCTATGGTAACTCACTCTACAGCAAGGGCAGAGAAGAGCGGTTAAAAACAAACTGCTCCAACTTGCTCACTTCACTGGCGGTTGCCATCTTCAAACTGTTGTAGTTTTAAAAATTATAAATCCTACACCGAAGAGCTTTTGTGAGAATCACAAGACCCAGACCTAACGTTTGATGCATAGTATGTCTCTGAAATATTAAAAATGAAGGCACAGTCGCAGTTTAGAAATTGCCCTTCAAATTTTGAGGTGGCTAGAGTGTAGTTCAATGAATGTCAATGGGCGGCGTGAGTTGCAAACGAATGGTCATATTGTAAAAACTATCAGGACTATGGCTTAGCCGTGGACATTTTTAGTGGCAGCAGGGATAGCTGAACGTTTTGATATAAGATTTGTGTAGGTGGGCTTGAAAATGAGGGAGTGATGGCAGTTTAGAAATCATGTCCTGATTTTTCAGCTCACACTCTAGCTTTTGTCAGCTCCCACTCTAGTTTTGAACATTCCGCCATTCATTCCTATGGGACGAATTTTACCACAAAAATGTACATTTTGTGAACCATTCGGCGAAATGTTCCACAAAGTAATAGCACACCAATCGGGAACAATCTGCACGTTTCGGTATATTACGGTCTATGTAGTGTAAAAACTGTGAGGAGTTAGGGTGGTAATTTTGGCTATAATAATAAATATATATATGTGTGTGTGTGTGAGATAACACTAAGTGGTCTTGCCATGCAAAAGCCCTTAATGAGGTATCCTTTGATGTGCATATCTGTGAAGCCAACACGTTTTGTCCCTTTATTAGATACACCAGCTTTGGCACTGAACTGTCTAAAAAGGATTCTCAGCAAAGACGTCTGTTATACAGTGAAGGTGTAATTAATAGAATATTCCCTTTGGCAACTATGGTATCTATAGAAGAGGAATTTATGGGAAGACATATTGCACATCCGCACTGATAAAGCTCTAACTGAAATATATTCTTAATACAATATTTAATTAAGATTTCACAAACTCATTATCTAACAAATGTAGACCACTTTGGTCCTGGCAGATATTTTGGTGCACTGACCTTTTAACCACCACATAGAATAGTTTTCCACCAAAAGCTGTTCACTCAAATTTGTTTGTAATGCAATTGCATTACAAAGTTTCCTAACAGTTTGCATTGGCGCTTGCAGTGCATTGCAGCCATGATTGGTGCACCACACAGGACAATGAGCAGGCGGCTGCAGACTGTTCCTCAAGCCCCAGGTTCATATGACCATGTTTTATGAAGCACCCTAAATATGGGGGTGCGATTATACATGGCTTCAAAGACTAACTACGCCTTTAAATTTTGTTCTTCATCTTCTGGTAGTGGAATTCTTGCCTTTAAAAAATGTGAATGTTTTGTTGTTGTGGCCCACAATATATACTGGAAGTAGTGTGTTCTGAACCCATGTTGGTGTGAGTACAGGCAGTGAATGTCTGCTCACTATAATGTGTGGATCATGCTGTTGCAGCAGTGAAACCTCTTCCTGGATTAGAGTTACACTGACTGAATCTAGTAACATGTTGGCTGAGGCACGGGCTGGGCATTTCATGGGTTCTCACTATAGTGTGATCTTGTCTTTAATTGTAGCTATGTGGTAGTGATGCCAAAGAAGAGGCAGGCACTGGTGGAGTTTGAGGACATTCTAGGAGCTTGCAATGCTGTAAACTATGCTGCAGACAACCAGATCTATGTGGGTGGTCATCCTGCCTTTATTAATTACTCCACCAGTCAGAAGATATCGCGCCCTGTGGACACAGGAGACGATTCTAGAGGAGTCAACAACATCCTTCTGTTCACCATCTTAAACCCAATCTATTCAATCACTACAGTAAGTTAAAAATCAGTGTCTACGTTTGTTTTTCCATAGTTGTTGCCTTTCAAGGCCTCATGCACACCAGATGTTTCTCACTCTCCTGGCAGTGACATTTTGGTAGAAAAAACACTTGACTCTTATAAATGCATTTTTAGCCATGTCAAGCGTTTGGGTTTTAAATTCATTGGCCAGAATAATTTATCCTGGCAACTGAATTGATGCTCAAGCTCTAAATGTGCATTTACCATGTGTGATTTTTCTATCAAAACACTGCTGCTCATGTATGTGCTGGCAGTGGGGTTTTCTGTCTCCAAACTTCCTGCCTCTAGACTCCTCTAAAAGCCTATGTGCATGGACACATAGGTTAACATGCAAGAGCGTTTAGTCAGGCAAACGCCAGGCACCCCTAGGAGCAGCTGAAAAAAAGGTTACGTGTGTGAGGCCTGAAGACTGTGCAGTCCTCTAGTTTTTTTTTTTTAGTCCTCTTTACTACTAAAGTACTTGTTGGCAATGCTACAGTGTCTTGTTTCTTCCCATAGGATGTGCTGTACACTATCTGTAATCCATGTGGACCAGTCCAGCGGATTGTGATCTTCAGGAAGAATGGTGTCCAAGCTATGGTGGAATATCCTTTTTAATGTGTTCTGTTCAGTAAAATGAATGCATTGATCATTGTGCACCTGGTGTGTCTGAATGTAACTGCAAGTTGGCACACATCTGGTAAACATTTAATTTAATACATAATTGGGCCCTTTTGTCTGAATAAATTTGATTATGGTGTAGTGTGAAACTTTCTGTATGAACTGACAACTGACTTCCAGTCTTACTCCTAGATAAATTTCAATTGAAAGCGTTTGTATGAGTAAGACATGCGTTTTAGCAGCTCATTGATGCTACTGATGTCATTGTTCACTCTTTGCACTAATGTAGGAGCTTCAGTATACCGCATTGTAACATTAAAGTGATTTTAAAGTCATTTTTTTTTTTTTTTTTTAAATGAAAAATGAACATGTCTATACCTGCCTGCTGTGTGCCGTGGTTTTGCATAGAGCAGCCCGGATCCTCTTAAGTCCACCACAGGCTCTCCTGGCTCCTCCCTTCTGTCTGGTGCCCCCACAGCAAGCAGCTTGCTATGGGGGCACTCGCTGCTCCGTGTCCATTCACGCATGAAGCCACGGTTTGGCCCTGCCCCATTTCTTCTCATTGGGTCACTGGCTGTGGTTGACAGAAGTGGAAGCCAAAGGCTCATTCTTCTATCTCAGCGAATTAGGAGAGGGAGTCCTGGGATAGCCGAGACTCCAGTACACATGGAGGTGATGCTACACACCAGGTTTTTTTTTTTTTTTTTTCTTTTAACCTCATGCATAAAACACATGAAGGTAAAAAAACCTTGAGCCTTTTAGAATCATTTTAAGGAGCTCATAGCTTTTCCGGGTTTTTTTTTTTTTTTTTTTTTTCCTAGCATGTTAAAATATCTACCCTTAGGAATAGAACTGCATTTATGTGGCTCCTAATGCAGCTGCTGTATTTATTTATTTATTTTTTTCTCAGTGCTCTTTCTAAATAGAGGGTAACCACTGGGCTGTATCAATTCATGCTGACCTGTTTTTTAATGTCTGTGGCATACTACCACTCAGCTCTATGTAATTACACACTCCTGTCAGACTTAATGTGTTGCAGAGACATTTCAGTGACTCCAGCAGTTGGATTGGTCTTCACCATATATGCTGCAATACTTTATGAACATCCAAAGTGATGTAAACGGGAGTGCAGGATCCCCGTTAGCATGGCAGTATACACTTATTGAAAGGGGAAAAAAAGCCAAGATGGATACAAAGCAAGACTGTGTGCAGGAAGAGCAGCCCCAGGTCCCCTGGCTGACATTACAGGGACCTGCTCTGACGGCAGTCAAATATCAGTAAACTGCATTCTATGCTTCTGTGCTAAGAACACTGTTGGCAGTCTTTGACAGCTGTCAAAGTGGGTCCCTGTCATGCTGGCTAGGGGATCTGGAGCTGCTGTTCCTGCACACAACCTTTTTGTATCCATCTTTGGTGAGTGATTCCTACCATCCACACAGGTTTTCATGAATGTTAAGGAAGTGTGCCTACCCACCTTCTTTCAATAAATGTATATCCTCATACTAATGAGGATCCCACACTCCTGTTTGAGCTGCCTTTTGGCTTATACCAGTTCTCCGCTGGAAGCTGTAAGGTTCTCTTGCTAGATTCCCCTTGATCATCTTTCTGATCGGATTGAATTTTGATAGTGTTGACATTGCAAACTGAAAGCTGGGAGCTGTTGTGTTCTTTGCTGGTTTGTGGCTTTCTTTTCACAAAGCAATGTAAACAGGAGCTATGCAGATGACTGAATTGGCAAATGTAAATACAAAAGGAAACCTTGTGTTTTCTATTTTTGCAACTTCGTCTTTTCCTTAACTTTCTGCACATTCGACTCTGTTCAGAGTGCTCAGCGTGCTAAGGCCTCCCTTAATGGGGCCGACATCTATTCTGGATGCTGCACATTAAAGATTGAGTATGCCAAGGTAAGTAGAAGAACTTCCTCGCCTTTCCTCGCCTTCTCGCCTTTCCTCGCCTTTCCTCGCCTTTCCTCGCCTTTTGTCCTATTCGTATTGGTTTGTCCTGGCCTTTCCTCGCCTTTCCTCGCCTTTCCTCGCCTTTCCTCGAGACAGATTAGTTTGTGAAAAGTGAAAAGTGTATTTGAATACCAGTCCTGAACACAATTTGGTAGGCCATGACCAATGAAGAAAGAGCTATGCTCCCATAATATATTTGGAAGTCTCCCCTTTTCTTAATAATCTGGTCATCAATGTGGTATAATGGAAGGAGATCAGAGCCTTTAAACGCCACAAACCGTGGTCTGGACCCACTACTTTTGTGCCAGCTATAAGCTATGTGGGAGGTGTGCAGTGTCTGCTGAATCGCACTCTTGATAACTGTATATGGAGGTGGGTATAAACTTCCATTTTGGAGTTCGATTTTTGCACTGGTTTTTCCATTTCAGATGCAAAATTTGTTCAGCTTGAGCTTGTCCTTGTGATAAATTCTCCTTATGGTTAATGTTGACACGTCATGAAAGGGATGAAGAAAAATTAGGAATGCAGGCTTCTAGTCCTGGGGTGTCGGCGGGGACATCAATGACATAGTCAAATGTTTACATTGTGTTTAAAACTTGGTGCATCTAACTTTTTCCTTCCCTCTTTTTTTGAAGCCTACCAGACTGAATGTCTTTAAAAATGACCAGGACACTTGGGACTACACTAACCCAGCGTTGAGTGGACAAGGTAATGACTCCTCCTATATATGTTCTATCTATACATGCTTTCTTCACTAGTCTGATCAAATGCACCAGACTGGCACGTCACACTTTGTAATGCCACTGGCTTGGCTCTTGGACACCAAGAAACTTGGTTGCTTTACCAAAGCAAGTCAGACGGATTAAGTATTGCCTGTCGGTAAGGGCGCCTACAGCATACTGTCTGTTGCAGTAAAGTTCCGATAACAATTGCCCTATCTGTATTGTACACAATTATTTTTTTGATGTGTTTAGCACCAGACGTTTCTCCCTAGAGCAAACGGTGGCATTACATGAGCAAAGCTAACACATTTCTTTTCCAAGGTACATACTAGAATGTATGTGCAGGGGCCGGTTCAGTGCTGCCTGTCATGAGGGCATTGTCTCCAGCTGACCCGAGAGGTGGTGATGTTGGTTTTTAGAATCCTCCCTCTAGTGGGAAGCTTCTTTCCAGCTCCCTCTTGTGGTCCAGGACTGACAGGCCCCCGTCTGCACATTGTTAAATAAACACACAGTGTAGTGAGTCAGCACGGAAACATGTATCGCAGAGTTTGCCAGGCCTTCTGCAGAGGTCACACACGAAGAACATCACATGGTGATCCAAGAACAAGTCGCTGAATCTGGGGCTTCAACACGTCACAAGTACAGAGATGTTCTCAACACGCTGCAGGCATGACAAGTACAGAGATTGATCTCAACACTACAACAGACATCTTTTTACAAGTACAGAGAGAACTTGAGTGCCACATGCCATAGCAGTGTATTTTCACAGTGAACACAGTCATGTAATGGGCACAGAAGTGGGTCGGCACACGCCATGGCAGGCAAGGACGGGACATGCTACAACATTAACACAACGCGATCCTCAAAAACTCTCCATACAACAAAAACAGTTTCTCTTCACCTCAGCCAAGTCCAGAAGAGGCGAACATAAGCTCACACCCCCGACAAGATACAGGACGTGTGACGGGGGTCAGACACCAGCTAGCAGCATCACTACAAGTGACCACACAAAGCACATGGAGCACACAGAACATGGAGAAACATGTTAGCAACATGTGATCCTTTTACAGAATGCCAATTGTTGCGTTGTCTTTGCCCTTCGATGTAACTCATGACTGAAACCATGTGATGCAGGGTCGCTGCGTGTGCATGGCGGGGCGGCACCTTTCAGAGCTCTGCTTACGCACATATGAGGTACCCAATGGTAAGAGAAATACAGAAATGTTTTTGTCAATGGGACTCAGCAGTAAGTAAATTCTTTTCTCAATCTTTGTGCTCAATCTTTCCAATGACATGTCTTTGTGCTCAGTCAGGGTTGGTGTTTTGATTTTTGGGGAGGGGGTGGGGGAATGGGTGCATCTGTGTATCAAGGATTATTTGTTGCAGAATGTAGTAGGGTGTTTTTTTTTAGTTTGGGGAGGTGGTATAGGATGGGAACTTCATAAGAATTTGGCTGTCTAGTATTGTGGAGATTAGTTCTTCAAAGCCTTGATACACAGCTCTTTAATCAGTATATTGGAGGGGGCTGTACTGTCACTTTCTTTGATTAGATAAATGGGGATTTGACGCGGCACTCCATAGGGTACTCATTGCTCCTTTATTTTCGAATATTTTAGTTGATGCTGGAGGTAACCCTAACAAACGCCAGAGGAACCCACCGTTGTTGGGAGACCACCCTGCAGAGTATGGTAAGGAAATCCAATCTGGATGGCGTATATTCTAAATTAGACATTAACCAGAAGTGCCCCCTGGGGGTGCATGCGCCTCTGGTTCAGAATCTTTGTATTGTACAGTGTTTTAGCGGGAGCGCTTTGGTTCCTCTTTGGGCTCCCTTACCATAAACTGTCTGGTTATCCTGTCTTAATAGATAGAAAATCTCCTAAACTTTATTAAAACTTTTTTTTATATTTCCTTGCAGGTGGTGGTCCTCATGGTGGATACCATGGACACTATCATGATGATGCATATGGTCCTCCACCCCCACATTATGAAGGACGCAGGATGGGTCCTCCTCCTGTTGGAGCTCCCCGCAGAGGTCCAGGTCGCTATGGTCCTCAGTATGGCCACCCTCCACCACCCCCTCCAGAATATGGCCCTCATGCTGATAGTCCAGTTTTGATGGTGTATGGTCTCGACCCCAGCAAAATTAATTGTGACAGAGTATTCAACGTGTTTTGCCTGTATGGCAATGTAGAGAAGGTAAGCTGCATTTTCTGCAAAAGTCTAAAAGGGTGCAACGTCTGTAGGCTTCAGCTTAATGTTCTATAATCCTCTCTTTAGGTCAAGTTCATGAAGAGCAAGCCTGGGGCCTGTATGGTGGAAATGGGTGATGGATATGCGGTGGACAGAGCTCTTACCCATCTGAACAACAATTACATGTTTGGGCAAAAGCTTAGTGTGTGGTAAGCTCTTCTTCTTTTTTTTTTTTTTTTTTTTTTTTTTTTTTTTTTTAGATGGGCTTTATTGCTTGCTTTTGTTCCTAGCGTTGTAAATTAACTTTAGCATGCTCTTAAATCTTCTAGTGTTTCGAAGCAGCAGTCTATTGTTCCTGGTCAGTCCTATGGCTTGGAGGATGGATCCTGCAGTTTTAAGGTGTTTAGTGGCTCTCGAAACAACCGGTTCACTTCCCCTGAACAAGCTGCAAAGAATCGCATTCAGCAGCCTAGCAATGTGTTGCATTTCTTCAATGCTCCTCCAGAGGTGACTGAAGAGAACTTCTTTGAGGTAAGACAGTTTAATCTTGGTTTTGAACTTGCTGGCTTTTGAAAACATTGGGATATTGGTAATGCAAAGGACAGAAATGTCTCATGATACTAGGAGTGACTCAAGTAGTCCCATGTTACATTGCCATTTCTGCAATGCTGTGTGCATGCAGATGAGAACATTGCTTCAAAACAATTTTAACCCCTTTCCTGACCAGACCATTTTTTTGCTGTCTGGCACTGCGCTATTTCAACTGTTAATCGCGTGGTCATGCAGTGCTGTACCTAAAAAGAAATTTTGTTTTCTCCACACAAATAGAGCTTTCTTTTGGTGGTATTTGATCACCTCTACCATTGTTTGCACTATAAACAAAGACCAAAAATTTTGAAGATACATTTTTTCACTTTTTGATAAAAAAAAAATTCAAAAAAAGTATATACATTTTAGGCTTAAGTGTATTCTTCTACATGTCTTTATTAAAAAAAAAAAAAAAAAAATCTTAATACATGTATATTGGTTTGTGTGAAAGTTATAGCATCTACAAATGTGTTTTATGTAGATTTTACTTTGACTGCCTAGCATATTTCTTGAGGTGCTAAAATGCCAGGGCAGTACCCCCACCTCCCAAATTACCCCTTTTGGAAAGTAGACACCCCAAGGATTTTGCAGAGGCATGTTGAGTCCAGGGAACTTTTTTAAAAGAAAAGTCACAATGATCTTGCTCATGCATACCATGGGTATATGTGGAATACCACCCCAAAACACATTCTCATGCTTCGTTCTAGTATGGGGATATCACATGTGAGACTTTTTTGGCAGTCTAGCTACATAGAAGTCCCCAAAATCCAATTACCACCTTCAGGCTTTCAAAGGGCATACTTCCTCATATCACTTCACCACTACCTATTGTTTTCAGAGGCTCTAAAATGCCAGGATAGTACAAACGCCCCCCCCCCCCTCCCCCCTTCCCCCCCCCCGCCTCCTTTGCAAATACCTTGGAGTGTCTACAAAAAGGGTTCATTTTGGAGGGGGTGCTTCTACTATCCTGGCATTTAAAGGCCAACATTAGAAGCTTCTGCCACACATCACCCACTCTTAAACCTTTTTTGCTAGAAAATTACTTTCAACCCCCAAACATTTTGTGTATAATATATATGCACGTGTGTAAAAGCGGAGGCCCTAGAGCATAAACTGGTGGGTGTTGACATTTTTTACACCGCACGCACAGATTTTTAATGTGGGGGGGAAAAATACACTTTTTAGAATTTTAATAAACAGAATATATTGCCCAATTTGATAAAAGCTGATGTTGCGCTGAGTAAATGGATGCCAAATATGACATGCTTTAAAATTGCGTATGCTTGTGCAATGGCAACAAAGTACATACATTTTTATTATCGATAGGCAATGTTTTAAAAGCCTTTTACAGGTCACCAGTTTATATTTACACAGGAGGTCCAGTGCTAGAATCACTGCCCTCGGTCTTACGTTCTCGGCAATACCTCACATGCATGGTGCAACTGCCGTTTACATACTAGCACGGGGTCAGCGTGTGTGGGGTGGTTTTTTTTTTGTCTCTTTGCAGGAGAGAGAGAATTTTCTCCTGCAAAGCTTGCTGTCATGAAGTTTTGTTTGTGTTTTTTTTTTTTTTTTTTTTTTTTTTTTTGACAGCTCACGATAGTGATCTGTGATTGGCTGGAGCTGGTCACATGGTACAGGGTGCTGAGATTGGCCCCATGTATCATGTGACAGCTGTGGGCCAGTCACAGCTTACTAGGAAGAGGAGCATAGCTGTTATGAATCAGTCTGATTCATAACAGCTTTGCTTACATTGTGATCATATGATCACCAGGATCTTCAGTCTGCTGGACACAGCAGTTGTAAGAGGGGAAGCGCTGAGGGCCCCCCTGTTAGTACAGCCAGAGCGCTGTAGAGGTACATCTCTTTGCCTGTAGCTGCCGTAGTACATTGCGCGGGTGGGAAGTGGTTAAAGACTCTTCCTCTTAGTGTGCCACCATACGAAGCTGCTTTCTATCGTAGCACACGTGCATGCTCGATCCTGAGCCCTGCTGCTTGTGACAATTGACAGAAACCACTTGACTGTCTTCATTTCATGCTGCACTCAAATGTCTTTGTAGCTGCAAGCATCCTCCTTGGACATGGTCCCCCACCCACCCATCTGGTTGCCCATTGGGCTGTAACTTGACTAGTACAAGGTTCTGTCTGCTCTTCTGTCCTGTAGGTATGTTAAAACTTGACTGTACTGCACAAAGGCGCAGTACAGTATATAACTGAATTCAGAGCTCAGACCCCCTTGCATTCCCAGTCTGAAAATACATTGTAATTCAGGAAGCTCAAAATGTATTTATACGAGATGGATTACAAATCTATTGTTTTGGGTACTTATGAGTAAAACGATGCTTCTAATTAACAAAGTTATTTGGGGAGAAACTGTAGGAAGTGTGCAGCTGGCTCGGCTTCGAGTTGAGTATGAAATGTTAAAGTTGTATTTGTACCAGTTTATTAAGCTGGGCATGGTTCTGGTAAATGCAAACTTTCTTGCAGTATTGTGGGTACTGGCATCTCTACAGGTAATGCCTTAAACTGGTTTCCAGTCAGTTTAAACTGTTCTTTGTCTTGTCTAGATCTGTGAGGAACTGGGTTTGAAGAAACCATCTTCTGTCAAAGTGTTTTCTGGCAAAAGTAAGTCCAGCAAAAGTAAGTCTTGTGCGATGCAACACACTTTTTTATTTATTTATTTTTTTATTTTAATACTTAGAAAAGTAACAGTCTGCAGTCAGCATGGGGTGACATGACTTAACTACTTGCCCTCCAGAGGATTTACCCCCCCCTTCCTGACCAGGCCTCCTTTTGTGTTACGGCTCTGCATTACTTGACAATTGTGCAGTCATGCAACACCACAACCAGATGAAATTCACACTCTCTCTCTCTCTCTCTCTCTCTCTCTCTCTCTCTCTCTCTCTCTCGTTTTCGGTGGTATTTAATCACCTGCATTTTTGTTTTGCTCTATAAGCAAAAATCCTATTTTGGACTTTTTGCTATTAACCACTTCCCGTCCTTTTTATGTACATGGGAGCAGTACAGAAGCGGGTAGCCATTTATAAACTTCTTCCTGCATTCCCTGCCTGTGCGCACTCCCTGGGACACAGCGGAACACTGATCTCTGTACGGGACCTCTGTGTGAGGTCCCGATCATGTGATCACTGATTTTCTAAAATAAAAGTTTGGACTTTTTTTTTTTTTTTTTTGTTTTTATATAGCAAAAAATTCAACATCCCAGTGTTGAATAAATACCACCAAAATAAAATTTCTCTCAAAAAAATGCTAAATTCACATGGGTACAGTGTTGTATGACCGCACAATTGTCATTCAAAGTGTGATAGCCCTGAAAGCTGAAAATTGGCCTGGACAGGAAGGGGTGAAAGTTTCCAGACTTGAAGTGGTTAAACATGTCCAGTAAAAATATGTATATCTAATTTCATCATAAATTTAGGCCAAAATGTATTCTGCTCCATGTCTTTGCTTTTTTTTAAAAAAAAAAAAAAAAAAAAAAATCCCAATACGTGTAAATTAATTTACACAAGTTTTATAGCATTTACAAATGGCGGTGTAGATACTGGGATTTTTTTTTTTTTTTTTTCCCTAATAATGGCGCCGATCGACTTTTAGCTGGACTGTGGAGGGCATTCTGACACTGGGGGGAACTAACTTTGTGTTACTGACATCCCCAGTGACACCAATACAGTGATCAGTGCTAAAAAACCAGCACTGACACTTTACTAATGACACTGGGCAGGAAGGGGTTAATGTGAGGGGCAATCAAAGGGTTAACTATGTAGGGAGTGTTTTACTAAGGGACTTCGCTGTAAACACACTGGGGGAGGAGAGGGATGTGTGTTACTGTAAGCACGTGGGGCAGGGGGTGCTTCACTGTAAGCACACTGTTCAGGATGGCTGTGCTGAGCAGTGTGCCCCAGCTGACAGGGAGGAAGACTATTTGTAAAAACAGTCTTCCTCCCCATCCAGTGATTTTTAGTAATCACTGGCTGGGACACGGTGATTGACAATCTGCGAATAGGCAGCGCTGGTAGCTTGACCACGCCCCCCCCCCCTACCCGGAAGTGCAAAATCGTATCTACGGCTATAGAGAGATGTATAGTGTGTGATTATTTTTTTTTTTTTTTGTGCTGATGTGTAACAGTATATCATGTATATATGGCGGTGGGTAAGCAGTTAACCTACAGTATTCTTTTTATACCTGCCACAGTTTTGCTTTCCCACTTAGTTGCATGCTTGTGAACTGCGACCAGCACTTTAAATTCCCCATCAGTTATGTTATGGAAGGATTGTCTGTTTTTGAAGTACCAGTTTATCTGCTATGTAAAGGTTTGCTTTCTCTTCCCTGTCTGTAGGTGAGAGGAGCTCCTCTGGCTTGCTTGAATGGGAATCTAAGAGCGATGCCCTTGAAACACTCGGCCTCCTGAATCACTACCAGATGAAGAATCCTAGTAAGTCCTTTTGGTTTCTGTATGTGTTTTTAGATGAGAATATATGAATGGCTTATAATTTTAAGGGGGGGGGGGGTTGTTCCTTTACCCCACACTGCCATCTTTGATTATTCCTTAGTCTCCTAAAGCCCTACTTCACAAAGTCCTATATGTTGATACAGCTGTATTCATGTTGGTAGTAATGGTCCTGTAAATGTTTCTGTGCTATTAACTGGACGTTCTGTATGCAATGTCTGACTCCTTAAATCAGCATGGCTCCAGTGTCATAGGTACATTCCATATTTTTAGCTTTTTTTTTTTTTATTTGGCCAACTTCAAATGGGGTAGACTGCGGCTGTGGTACACATGCTCGGCAGGGGGGATCTGTACCGATCCCTGCTGAGAAGGTGAATGACAGGTCCATGTCTGCTCTGCATATGCAGAGCAGACAGGCACAGCCTGCTTTCCTATGGGTGATCGGATGTAAACAGACCACCTGTCTGGTTTTTCACTTGCTAATCCATAGAGGAGAATCGAAACATCTGTGTAAAAGGAGCCTAATAGACTGTGTTGCATTGCAACACCCCACCATGCGTTTGTCACTTGACATTGTTTAAAGCAATCTGTTCCTGCTAAGGTGGTCTTACCAGACTTGGTCATGTTGTGTTCTGTGTTTAGCACCAGCAAAATAAATATGAAAAGAGTTTATTAAAACTAGAGCAGCCATAATCTGGAGCAACACTACATAGCAGTCCGCTTGTTAAAGGAAGTACAACCAGTGCTAGTTGGCTGTACTTTTCCTGTGGAACATGTGAGTGTTATTCGTTCTGCACTCCTGTGACCTGTTTTTAGCCTAACAGTGTGTTGTAGTATGCTGTCGGCTGACGTTGCTCAGCCTCTCGGCGAGCCGGTGAGAGCCTCAGCCAGCCACTCCTGCCCCTCCACAGCCCAGTGAGCACTGGAGGGGCTGCGCAGACAGCAGTGACTGAGTCCTAGCTTTGCTCAAAGTGGCAGGGAGTGGTGTCTGATCACTCAGCTCTCACCCTTGGAGTCAGCAGGGGACAGATTCAGCATCAGATCAATGCTGCATCACCTAGCTGAGTATGATTTAAAAAAAAAAAAAAAAAAAAAAACCTTCAGCTTTGCAAATGAGCTTGTTGCCATGCACAGGTGCTCCAGTTTGGACAAATTTGCATTGTCTACTGTAGGCCCTATTCATACAGTGTGCATTGTGTTGGGTGTCTGCTTTTTACAGTCTAAAAATGGGATTGTTCAGCATGCATTCTGGCAACAGCATTGTGGAATTTAATCCTGTTCTGCTGGCTTTGCTTTCCCTTCTGTCCTACAGATGTAGCAAATTCCATGTTTTAGGACTTGTTGACTGGCTGTCTGGGCTTGTTGGCATCGGTATGCATTCATTGATGGATACATTTCCTTGTATAGGAATGCAAAACCTGATTAAAGCAAACAATAGCCTGTCAACAGACTCTCAATGATTTATTGAATGTGCATTGCAAAACGTATTTAGCTGTACATGTGAGGCAATGTCATGACACCTTTTTTGTCACTTCTTCTTTCAGATGGGCCATACCCATACACCTTGAAGCTGTGCTTCTCCACTGCCCAGCATGCATCGTAACATCAAGAGTTGGCAAGATAATTCCCTACCTGCAGTTCTTGTTTAGTACAAGTTGAGCTTCTTGTTCTAGTTTTTATTTTTTAATTTTTTTATTTTACGTGATTGGTTGTGTGCGCCTTGTTTAGCACATGTTAATAAAATGTTTTGAAACATTTGGTCTTTTTGGTTCCTTTTTTGACTGTCTTAATTGTATTTGCAAATGTAGCACAATCATCTTTTTGGTCCCTGTAATATTTAATTGGGAAATGTTGGTGTCACTTTTTTTAATCTAGCATGTGCATCCATAGACTGAAATGGTAGACTGTGATCTCATGCTGCATCAGATGCGTGGGGAAGTATGGCTGAGCAATGCAATGTTGGACAATAAAGACAAACCAAATTTCCTTTTGCTAGTAAAAACTGAAATTGGACTGCTGCATCCACTACACAATCTAGATACTAGATGTAAAACAACTGCTTGGGGAAAAAAAATGAGACGTGTCAGACCACAACAGGACATTGAGCTAAATGCACTTCTACCAGGCTAAATTGTGTTTTGTTTTTTTTTTTGGTACTAGCGGGGCACGTGGAAAAATTCATTTTATTGTATTGCAGCATTATATTCCCCCCAATTAAAATGCGAGGTCTATTGTCAGTTTCTTTAAAAAAAACAAAAAAAAAAACGGTGCGCTGTCTCTTACACGTTCCAAAGTGCAATTGTGCACACAATCTCAAACCATATTATAGAGAAAATGGATGTGAGCTCAATATATGCAGTCTAAATATAAAAAATCACAAGGTTGTCAAAATGCCATACTCGACTTTAAAAAAAAAAAAAAAAAAAAAAACCTCTCTTGAAGAGTACAGTATCTCAAAGTGAGTACACTCCTCACATCTTAACCTCTGCAGCAATGCTGGCAACACTCTTTCAAAAAGACAACCTCTGGATATGACGCTGAGCGCATGCACTCAACTTTCTTGGTCGACCATGGTGAGGCCTGTTCTGAGTGGAACCTGTCCTGTTAAACCGCTGTATGGTCTTGGCCACCGTGCTGCAGCTCAGTTTCAGGGTCTTGGCAATCGCCTTTTACAGCCTAGGCCATCTTTCTGTAGAGCATATAAATTCTTTTTTTTTTTTTTTTTTTTTTGTTTTTTTTTTCCCCTCTCTCCAACCCTTAAAGTTCTTTGCCATGAGGTGCCATGTTGAACTTCCAGTGACCACCATGGGAGAGAGTGAGAGCGATTTAACACCAAATTTAACACACTTGCTCCCCATATACACCTGAGACCTTGTAACACTGAGTCACATGACACCAGAGAGGGAAAATGGCTAATTGGGCCCAATTTGGACATTTTCACTTAGGGGTGTACTCACTTTTGTTGCCTGCGGTTTAGTATTATACAGTATTTACAGTCTGAGCATGCATTTCACTTGCTGAAGACAAAACTGAAGGGAAAATGCCCCAAGAACAAGCAGGAACTGAAGACAGTTGCAGTAGAGGCCTGGCAGAGCATCACCAGGGATGAAACCCAGCGTCTGGTGATGTCTATGCGTTCCACACTTCAGGCTGTAATTGACTGCAAAGGATTTGCAACCAAGTATTAAGTGAAAGTTTGATTTATGATTATTATTCTGTCCCATTACTTTTGGTCCCTTAACAAGTGGGAGGCACATATGCAAACTGTTGTAATTCCTACACCGTTCACCTGATTTGGATGTAAATACCCTCAAATTAAAGCTGACAGTCTGCAGTTAAAGCACATCTTGTTCGTTTCATTTCAAATCCATTGTGGTGTATGTAGCCAGAAATGTGTCGATGTCCCAATATTTATGGACCTGACTATAAAGTGCCAACAGTTCACTTTCTGCGCTGTACATTACAAAGGGGGACAGAACGTGCGACAGTGCAGTAACAATACAATGCTATACACGCAGGGTTCGAGGGCCCTGCTCTTTTGAGCTTACAATCTAGGAGGTTTAGACATTAATGGCTGTGTGTTGAGTTATTTTGAGGGGACAGCAAATTTACATGTTATACAAGCTGTACACTCACTACGTCACATTGTAGCAAAGTGTCATTTCTTCAGTGTTGTCACATGAAAAGCTAGAATCAAATATTTACACAAATGTGTGGGGTGGACTCACTTCTGTGAGATACTATATATCCGTACAGATGGACAAATGTGTGTATGGACAATAAGCTAGATGCCTAAGTATGTCAAGACACACAAACCTGAAAGGTGTATATGATATAACTCAGTACTCCACTATCAAAATAGAAAAAAAAACATAAGTATGTGTACAGATGGACAAAAGTTACATGAAGCATACTGTATATATTGCAAACAAAGTTTGAAGATAAAGCAATCAAATGTGCAAAATGTCTACAGATGAAGATGTATCCTGGTGAAGTCTATAAAATCAGGATGGAAAAGACTTCAAAGTGTGAGATGGAGAGCAATTCAGTGCTGCAGGAATAGAGGGTGCCAGGAAATCACAGCACCCACCTGTATGGTGAACTCCTTACCAGAGACACTGATCCCACAGAGATCATGAAGCGCCTTGCTGTCCCACAGCACAAAATATTCAGATATGCCACTCAATTTGGATATAATCCTGTGTGTGTGTTCAGCACATGAAGGGACCACCATAGTGCAGTCTGTTAAACCCAGGGCTTTTACTATGGTAATGCGATAAAAAGACATCCAAGCACACGATTCTATTATGCATGCTGGTGGAATATGGTGATGTTCATCGTTTGTTATATGCGTGTGGTTGTCTTTATATTGTAAGTACATCACCATATTACAAGCCCTTGGTTTTAACATACTGTACTATGGTGGTCTCTTGTTTAATGGCCGGTTCACACTATAGAAACAGTCCAGATGCGGTTTTGCATGTGTGCTTTTGATGCGTTCCAGTGCGTTTTTATACATCCCAGTACATTTTTTTTCCCCTCTCAAATTTAAATAGGGACATGGGTATTCCAGTGCATTTTTGATGCGTTTTACCATGTTCCAGTACAGTTCTGTGTAGAAAAAAATGCAGCCTGTTTTTTTTTTTTCCCCTCCCTGCAACTGGAACGGCAAACACAGAAGTGAACTATGACAACCATATAACCTACTTTGTGTGTTTTGGATGCAGAAAAAAAGCAACTGAAACGCATGTAGTGTGAACTGGCCCTAACTTCTCTGTGCTGAGCACACTTACCCCCGGTTCACATGTATGTGACTGTGCGGGCCGTGTTTTGCACAGGCACGAGAACCCATTCATTGGAATGGACTCCCGTACGCGTGACATGCAGGGAAGAAGTCCCTGCACTTCTTTTGAAAACGCAGCCTGCACGGGAACCTCGGTTCCCAGTACGGTTGCAGTTTCCAGTGTGCTGGCATGCCATTAGAACTAATGGCACCCGCCTGCGGGTCCACATTTCTCTGTGCGGGTGTACGGATTTTCGTGCAGATCCGCAGCGGCACCACCCGCACAGATGTGATCCTAGGGTTACACAGGATTGTATCCAAATTGAGTGGCATGTCTGAATATTTTGTGTTGTGGGACAGCAAGGCGCTTCTATGTGGGATCAGCGTCTCTCATAAGGAGTTCACCTTACATGTGGGTGCTGTGGTTTCCTGGCACCCTCTATTCCTGCAGCACTGAATGCTCTCCATCTCACACTGTTGAAGTGTCTTCTTTTCCTTTGGGATTTTCCATCCTGATTTTGGACTGTTTACTAGGATACTTATTCATCTGTACGGACATTTTGGACATTTGATTGCTTTATCCATCTTCAACTTTGTTTGCAATATTTATGCTTGTTTAACTTTTATCCATATGTGCATTTATCTCTCTGTACACATATACACTTATGTTTTTTTCTATTTTGAGAGCGCAGTACTGGGTTCTATCATATACACCTTTCAAGTTTGTGTTTTTGATGTTTAGTAATCTAGCTTATTATTGTCCATACACATTCTGTCCATCTGTACAGATATACACTTTAATCCAAATAACTTTTATTGTCAAGATAATAGAAAAAAAATGGAACAGTACATACAGAATCCACAATGACATTACTGCATTAGCAGGATTACACATAAATAAAAAAACGTGGATATGCAGATCCAGTAATAAACAGAACAGAAATAGTAATCACACAAAACAGACGAGACCACAAGGATCCAAAACTTTGTTTACAATACCTTGCTTTTTACTTTTTTATTCCTTCCTGTCCAGATGCAAACAGAAGTGGGGTGAAAGGAACAAAGCCCAAAACATGCCTTCAAACAATTAAAAAAACAAAACATCAACGGCAACCTCTGGTTCACCCGAGATGTCTCATCAGAAAGAATGGGAGATGCACATGATTTCCCCCAAGGGAAGGAATGGAGTCAAACACCTGATATAAAATGTCACACCTGCAGAAGTCGGTCCACTATCAGGATATACTCTCTTCTAGGTTTATTATTTTATATTTTTTTGAAAGTTGAGTGTAGTGTTTTGACAACTTATTTGTGGTTTTATATATATTTAGATTATTGCATATATTAAGCTCACATCTATTTTCTCTATAATAATAATATGGTTTGAAATAGTATGCACAATTGCACTTTGGAATTTTTAAGAGACAGCACACCCGTCTTTTTTTTTTTAAGAAACGTTGGACAATAGACCTTGCATGTTAATCGGGGGGAATATAATTCTGCAATAATAAAATGAATTTTTTCCGCGTGCCCTGCTAGTACCAAAAAATAATTGAGCCTGGTAGAAGTGCATTTGGCTCATAATGTCCTGTTGTGGTCTGACGTGTCTCTTGTCATTTTTTTCCCCCCAAGCAGTTGTTTTACATCTAGTATCTAGATTGTGTAGTGGATGCAGCAGTCTATTTGAGCCTGGTAGAAGTGCATTTGGTTCATAATGTCCTGTTGTGATCTGACATGTGTCTCTCTCTCATCATTGTACATCACAAGATTTGAAAATTAAGTCCTTGTCAGTACTTTGGTGTGTGATATGGGCAGTTTCC